AGGTGGATCTCTGTGAGTTTGAGGCCAGCCTGGGCTACCAAGTGAGCTCCAGGAAAGGCGCAAAGCTACACAGAGAAACCCTGTCTCGAAAAACAACAACAAAAAAAAAAAAAAAACAAAAAAGAAGTGAAACTAAGAGAAATTCTTCTGTTAAAAAAAATCTTGGTAGAATTGTCAGTCACTTTTTATTGTCCATGAGAGAAAGATGTGCATTGGAAAGCGGCAGTGGCAGCAGCCATCGGTACTCGTGTTATGGCAGGTCTGATGGTGTGTGACAAGTGGAGAGATTACAGTACCCTTTGTATGGTATCTGACTTGTTAGGGTGCACATGCTTACCTTGAACACATTCTCTTTATGATTTACTTTTAGTTATATTCTAGCATTTGTATTTTTAAAATATAAAACTGTAATGAACAGTCTTGTACACAGGTCTATGCAATTATATATGCAGATCAAATATATTCATACATTAAATCCCTAATAGAACTATAAAGTACAGAATATATATGTATTTTTACTTTGATAGGTAATATTTTAAAAATTTTCAATATTGGAATTAAATCCATAACTTTATATTAATAAGTTTAATGAATTAACAGACTCAATTTATTTTTCTAGGTCCTAAACCTACTCATCCCACCAAGCCTCCGGTTTATAATTACCCAGGTTTGATAGTTCTTTATCCTACTGATGTAATTAAGAATTCAATGAGATATAGATAAAAAATGGTGTTTTGTTTTAATTGTCATTTCTTTAATAAGGCTGAACTTTTTAAAAATACATTTTAAAGCATCTTTTGAGATGGGGGTAAAGATGCTCAGGCTTTCTTATCTCAAGTGATCTTTGCCTTTAGATTCTTGCCACTGAGTCCAATGGTCATTTATTCATATCCTCTTACCATTTTTTTCTAAAAAAATTTTATTGATTTGAATTTAATTGTTCTTTATAAATTAAAACCCTTATAATGTGAAATGAATGTTTTTCTAGTATATTTATTAACACTAATAAGTTTTAAATTTTCTATACTGCTGGATATAGATTTATTTTTATAGATTTAAATTATATAATGTTGTCAAGGTTAATTGATACTAATATTTTAGGGTTGTTTTTATTTATTTTTGTACATCAACATTTTCTTACTTTTTCTTTCCCATTTTCCTCATTATTTTGTGTGTGATGTGTGTGTGTGTGTTCATGTGTGTTTTTACATGTATGTGGATACACATGTAGGATATATGCATGTGCTTGTGGAAATCTAAGGTTAAAGTTGGGACTCAGGCTCACTCCCTCTTCCACCTTATTCACTGTGTCAGGATGTCTCCATCAATCCAGAGCTCACAGATACAGTTAATCTCTCTAGTCTCTGGGAATCCCATCCCCTCTTTCCAAGGCTAGGAATACAGGTAGACTGTCTATGTTTATGTAGATTTCTGGGGATCCAAACTTAGATCACCACTCTTATGTAGCAAGTGCTTCATCTCTCAGCTATCTTCCTCACCCACCTTTTTTTTTAAAGCAAAAATTATATCAAACTGCACATATTTCCCATCAATTTGTTCTTTCACTTAATGTCTTAGATTGGGATTTATTTAGATTTATTCCCATAGTAGTTGCATAGTATATATCATACTTTACTAATCTCCTAGTGGTCATATGTGTCCAGAAGTTTTACATAAATGGGTGATTAGATATATTAATTATTCCTCCAATAGCTCTGAGTTGTATGTCATATAAAAAGCTTTACGTGAGAATGGGGATGGAGAGATAATTCAGTAGCTAAGAGCAAACCCTGTTCTTGTTCAGTCCCCCTGCCTTGATTCTCAGCACCCACGTGGAGTGGCTCACAACCACCTGTGACTCCAACTTCAGAAGATCTGATACTCTTTTCTGGCCTCCTCAAGTACTGCATACACATGGAACACACACACACACACACACACACACACACACACACACACACACACACATGTACGCACGTGCGCGCACGCACACACACACACGAATTAAAAAAATAAAATTAAATCTTTAAATAAAAAGAGGATTTTGGTGTTCCCCTGGTGGGAATTACATTTTCATTCATATATCTGAGTTCTTTGTATCAAATTGTTGGTATGCTTGAAACACATGATGGTATTTGTGGGGAGGAGTAACAGGTTGCTTCCTCCTTCCTCCTCACTTAGGGGCTAAGAAGGGCTGATAGTTAAGTGGAAGTATAAGCAGAGCTTCTTCAGCTTGGAAGAAGACAGCTTGCCAAACTTTTCACTGTACATAAAGTCACAGGTCTTTTTTTAAACTACAGTACTCTTGTTTTTTTTTTAGCATTTGACATATTTTTTTAACTTCTAGACTGCTCTCACATTAATTTTACAATTTAACTAGACAATTCTTTGGCATTACACACACACAGACATTCTTGTGCAACCAATTCCCTTTCATCATCCCTAACTGAAACTTTCACTGTTAAATGACTTCACTTTCTTCCCTCTCCCAGCACCTGCTGAACACTGTTCTCCTTGCTTGCCCTTATAACTTTGCCCGTTCTTAGTACTTCCTATACCTAGGTCATACAGCATTTGTCCTGACACAAGCCTTGCTTACTTCTTATAACTAAATCCTTTCAAACTAAATCTTTTTAAGATCCATGTAACTTTCATCTTGTGCTAGGCTCTTTTATGTCTGAATAATACTCCATTATTTGTATTGCCACATTTTGCTTATTTGCTCATTTTGGTAAACTAAGGTTGGTTTGTGTATACCTCCTAGCTATGCTCTACAGTGCTGTTTTGAACATGGAGTTAGACACCTGTTCAAAGTTTTCACTTTTAATTCTTCTGATGTATATCTAAGAGTAGAACTTCTAGGTCATAAGGTGATTCAATTTCATTTTTGAGGAAATGTTGTCCTAGTCTTCCACAGCAGCTACATGATTTTATACTATTTTCTTACATCTTCACTCTCACTTGTACTGGTCTTTTGTTTCATTTCATTTTGTTTTGCTTTTATAACAAGAGCAATCTGTCTTTTTTTTGTGTGTTGCTATAACAGAACACCACAGATGAGCTGATTTACAATGGACAGAAACTTAACTCTCATGGTTCTGGGTTCAGGGAGATATGTAATGTCAAAGTGCTGCTATTTAGCAAATGCCTTCTTGCTACATCATAGCATTCCAGAAGGGAAAAGAGAGGTAGGAGAAACAGTGTATGCAACATGGGCAGATTCACTCCTGCAATAATAAACCCAGTCCCTAGATAATGGCATGACACATTTGTGCCCTGATCATCTGAATACCCTTATGCCAGCAAAAATTTCTGCCTGAGTTTTAGAGAAAGAAAGCACTCAAGTCATAGTACCAAGTTAGTAAATATGATTATATATCATATTGGTTTTATCTCCATTTCTCTAATATTAGTGAAGTGTTGAGCATCTTTTCATGAGCTTGTTGGTCATCTATATATCTTATTTGGAGAAATATCTATTCAAGTCCTTGGACTTTTCAAATTGGGTATGTTGCTACTGAGTTTTAAGAGTAATTTGGATATTCTATAATAGCTTATCAAATATGAAATTTAGAAATTTTTCCTCTCATTCTCTACATTGCTTTTATGCTAGTGTCCTTTAGTGTACAAAACTTGTCATTTTAATGAAATATGATTAATCTACTTTGGTGTTATTGTGGCCTATACTTTGTGTCACATTCAAGAAATCATTGTCAGATCTAAAATCATGAAGTGCTTCCCCATGTTTTCTTCTATGAGTTTTAGAATCATCTTCAATAATTTGATCCACCTAAATTATTTTTTATATATTTTAAGGCTCTAACCTCATTCTTTTGGCTGAAAATATCTAATTTCTAAAAACCAATTGCTGAAGAGACCACCCTTTCCCAATGACTGTTCCTGTGCTTCGTTTAAAAAAAAAATCACCTTAAAGTGTGTATGCGTGTTTATTTCTGAGTTCTATTCCATTCAATAGGTCTGTATGCCTATCTTTATATCAATAATACCCTGTTTTAATTAATATATCTTAGTATATTTTGAAACCAAGAAGTATGAGTTCTCTCAACTTTGTGTTCTTCAGATTTCATACTGATGGATAATCCTATGGTCCATATGGACCATAGGATAGATTTTTCTACTTCTGCAGAAAGACAGTGTCATCATGATTTTAATGGGGGTTACACTGAGTCTGTAAAGTGTTTTGAGTAATATAAACAGCTTAAAATAATCTTTTGTCTAACAAACACAGGATTCTGTGTTAGGATTTGTTGTTATGACAAAACATGAGAAACAATTTAAAATAAAAAAAAGACATAATTTCACTAACTGTTTCAGAGGTTTTGTTCTATATTCTGCTAACACCACTGTTGTTGACCTAGGGGAGGCAGAACATCACGGAAGTGGGAGTGTGTAGCAGAAGAATCTACTCATCTTCTAACAGCTAGATATTAGAGAAAAACAGACCATGCATAACCTTCAAAGGCATGCCTATATCCTCCAGCAGGGCCCACTTGCTAGTTGCTACCACTTACTAATGCTGCCACCAAGTTACATATCTATCAATGTATTCTATTAATTTAATCAAAGTCCTCAAAAATGCCACCATTTTTCAATGACTGGGTCCATCAGTTGAGTACTAAGTCTTCAACACATGAGCCTTTGGGGGATGCATTATATGCAAACCACAACCATGTATTTCCATGTATTTATCTCTTGAATCATTTATAGCAAAGTTTTATAGATTTATCTGTGTAAGTCTTTTACTGCCTTGGGGTTATTCTTAGTATTTTACCTTTTTTATGGTATTGCAAGTAGAGTTGTCATAATTTCCTTTATAAAGTATTCATTGTTCTTTGTTTTTTGTATCCTTCAACTTTGCTGAACTCATTAGTTTTAGTAGGCTTTTGTGGGAGACTGCCTACATAAAAGTTCATGTCACCTTGTGGCTGAGGCTGTAGCAAAGTGATAGTAGAATGATAGCATAGCATGTTTTTTTTTTAATTAAGAAATTTTTTATTCATTCCACATACCAACCACAGGTCCCCCTTCATTCCTCCTCCCTCTCCCCACTAGCCTTCCCCCCAGGCTCATCCCCCATCCTCTCCACCAAAAAGGTATGGCCTCCCATGGGGAATCAGCAAAGCCCAGCATATTCAGCTGAGACAGGTCCAAGCCCCTCCCCCTGCCTCAAGGCTGTGCAATGTGTCCTACCATAGGCAATGGGCTCCAAAAAGCCAGTTCATAACCAGGAATGGATCTTATTCCCACTGTCAGGGGCCCCTCAAACAGACCAAGCTACACAACTGTCTTGCCCATGAAGAGGGCCCAGTCCAGTCCCATACAGGCTCCACAGCTGTCAGTCCATATTTGATGAGTTCCCACTGGCTTGGTTCAGTTGCATCTGTCAGTTCCCCCATCATGGTCTTGATGCCCCTTGCTCATAGCATCCCTCTTCCCTCTCTTCAACTGGACTTCCAGAGCTTGGCCTGGTGCTTGGCCATGGCTCTCTGCATCTGTTTCCATCAGTTACTGGATGAAGTCTCTATGATGACAGTTAGGGCATTCATCAATCTTATCCCTGGGGTAAGCCAGCTCAGGCACCCCCTCCACCACTGATAGTAGTCAGTCTAAGCTGGAGTCATCCCTGTGGATTCCTGGGAACTTCCCTCGCACCTAGTTTCTCCCTATCCCCATGATATCTCTGTAGCCGAAAGTTTTCCTGTGTCCCCTTGTCCCGCAGCCACTCAGACCCGAATAAACACACACAGGCTGATATTAATTATGAACTCTATAGCCTTGACCTATTAGCTCAAGTTTATTGCTAGCTAGCTCTTATAACTAAACTTAGCCCATTTCTATTCATCTGTATGTTGCCATGTGTTCTGTGTGCCATTACATGCTGCTCCCTAGACAGCAGGATGGCATCTCCCCTGCCTCTGCCTTTCTTCTTTCTGTCTATCTGCTTGGATTTCCACTTCCTCTAAGCTGCCTTGCCATAGGCCAATGCAGCTTTATTTATCAATCAATCAGAGCAAGCAACACATATTCACAGCATACAGAAAGACATCCCACAGCAATTCTCCTTTTCTTTCTAATCAAAGAGGAAGGTTTTAATTTTAACCTAGTAAAATTACATATAACAAAACAGTTATCAAGCAAGAATTACACTTACAACATCTAGTCTATTTGTATTTGGCAAAATTAAAGAAAATGTTCTATCATCTATCCTATATTTGTGAGTTTAAAGTTTCATATCTAATTTATCTTTTATCACAACCAAAGAAAATTATAACTATTTAGTCTTCAACTACATCAAAGACCTCAGAAGGATATAATATTACCACAGTAAACAGGAAATGCATTGTAAGCACCTTCCAAAATTCTGGAAATGACAGAGACAGCTGCCTGCCTGGACAGTCATCCAAAATTCCTCTGTAATGTTGGAGCATCCATCTTCAGCCAATAGGTCTAGAGTTTTTAAATTGCTTCTCCTTGTGTGCTGTAGAATATTTGGCAGTCTCCTTTGTGAAGCAGGAACCTGAAGAACCATTTCACCTTGTAAAGTTCAGTGGTCACCTTCCTGCATGTCCAGTTTATATAACATATTATCAGCAGTCCAGGCAAGAACAGTTTCTTGCCCAAATAGCTATTTTTGCCAAGAAGAAGATAAACTCCATATGGAGTGTCTTTGATGCCCATCTTCCTCTTTGAAGTAAATTGGTGCTGCCAGGAGCAGACATGTCTCATTGTCCAGAAAGTCTAAGTTTTTGAAACATTTTAAATGCCATATTCTGTAGGTCTTTGAAGTGTTTGAAGATTACCCACCTAATTGAATTATATCTATATATACCTAGAAAACTTAACTAACATGACTATAAGTTTGATTATCATAAAAGACTAATTATTAATCTGTGTTTCTTAATTACCCATTATAATCTAAATGAGTTACATAAACATAATACCTTAAATGAGAGTAGAAATATATGTACAATATAACAAAATTAACTTTAAATTTGTATCAATAAACTAAAATCCATAGAAATGTAAAATATTTTAAACAAGTTGTTACTCTTTATCCTATCATATCTATATCCCCTTTTCTTCTTTAGAAAGAGATTGCATTTATAATCAACCTCCTTTAAATAAAAATAAATATACATAAACAATATTTTGGGAATTTGGGCGTAGTTCTCATACTACTTCCTGCTGGTTGAGGGTGCCGGCAATTGTAGTAGGAATCTTAAAGAGTTTTATTAGTAAAATCAAACCCAGAGCCAAGTATTGGGGTGAATGCTGGAAGATCTGAGAGACAGAACAAGCCACAGCTACCACCTCACCTCGCCGGATCCTCAGCTGGTCATTTCCTCAGACTGGAGGCCTCTGAGTCCTCATCCAGAATGGGTCTCAGCTGAATTGCTGCTCAAAAGCCTGAATGCTTAACCAGGCCAAATGCTTAACCAGCCAAATGCTTCTAGTTTCTGGTCCTCACGCCTTATATACCTTTCTGCTTTCTACCACCACTCCTTGGGATTAAAGGCTTGCTTTCTGGGATTAAAGGTGTGATGAGTCACCATGCCTGTCTGTATCCTTGAACACATGGATTTCTGCCTCTGGAATGCTAGGATTAAAGGCGTGTGCTACCACTGCCAACTTCTATGTTTAATATTGTGACTGCTCTGTCTCTGACCCCAGATAAATTTATTAGCATGCACAATATTTGGGGAAATACAATACCACCACAGGCAATCTTATGGGGATCCTGAGAAAATTAAGAATTATGGTCAAGTCCTGACTGGAATGGTCTGTGAGGCTGCATTGTCTGAGCCAGTTGCATTGAAGCTGTTTTTGGATGTTGGATCATCTGGGCCATGGTCCATTGGAGACCTTCCAGGGGGTCTTGGCTGATCAAACCATATTAGCTTGGAAGCAATACATAGGCTCTCATCTTCTGTGGAAACAAAAGCAGAACCTCTTTTCCAAAGCAATGTATCCTTAGACACAAATTTTGAAGTCAAGATACCTTTAATATATATATTGGTTTAACTCAGCAGCCTTTACAATCAAATGTCTTTTTACAGTTAAAATTCCCAAAGACAATATAATCCAGATTCTCTATGTAATTCCCATCTTTACCTGGCTTATTTTTTATATTACTTTTACTGTCTCTTTAAAGACTTTATTTTTTTAAAAAAAAAAAAAAACACTTCTTTATATAACTGTCTATCTTCTTTTTCCTCTCTCTTCCAAGCCTACATGCACTTTTACACATAATGTAAACCATTTAGAGGTTTATTCCATCTGAATTTGCCTTATTGTGAATCTATAATCCTTTTCCGCCCATTTCAGCTTTTCAACATGGCAGAGGTAATTCACCTCCAGCTCTGGGAGTCATTCTACTGACTCTGGGAGGCAGTGGGTCCATGCCTCCATCCAGTAGTGTGTAGCTCAGAAACTTTTTTTTGTCTGTACTAGCAAAAGCTAATATGCAGCATACTGCACAGCTTAGAGATGCTTCTGTGTACCACAGCAGGAATCCACCATGCTGCAAGTCAAGCCCACATGCTGCAAACCCACCATACTGTAGCTCACAGCTTGCCTGAGCGACACATTTAGGAAACTGTTTTTAGCTCTGTTTTAGAATCTTTTTTTTTTAAGTTCTCTCAAGTTTTAGGTGGAAAGTCAAGCCAACACATTGGGCAGCCAAATGTAGCTGGAAGTTTTCTCTGGTCCTGCCCAGTACTGTAGTCAGGATAAATCTCTCCCACCCACGTCCCACAGCTGCTTATAAAATAATCACTCAGAGGCTTATTATTTACAAACTTATGGCCATGACCTATGGCTCAATTTTCTTGCTACCTAGCTCTTATAACTAAACTCAGCCCATTTCTATTAATCTATATGTTGCCACATGTTCCATGGCTTTACCTGTGTGCCATTACATGCTGCTCCCTGGATGGCAAGATGGCGTCTCCCTGCCTCTGCCTTTCTTCTTCCTGTCTATCTGCTTGGATTTCCACCTGCCTCTAAGCTGCCTTGCCATAGGCCAATGCAGCTTTATTCATCAACCAATCAAAGCAACACATATTCACAGCATACAGAAAGACATCACACAGCATGTCTTCTATCAAGATATCTCCCTCATTGCTCTCCCAGTCTGCCCTTGTTCCAGCTCAACCATCCCATTCCCCCATGCTCCCATCCCTCTTCCCCTACCTTCCATTGCCCTCCTTACCCCCAGTTTACTCAGGAGATCTCATCTATTTCCCCTTCCCAGGGCAATCCTTGCCTCCCTCTTAGGGTTTTCCTTGTTACCTAGCTTCTGTGGAGCTGTTGATTGTAGTCTGGTTATCCTTTGCTTTACATCTAGTATCCACTTATGAGTGAGTACATACCATGTTTGTCTTTCTGAGTCTTGGTTACCTCACTCAGAATGGTATTTTCTAGTTCCATCTGCCTGCAAATTTCATGATACTGTTTTTTACTGCTGAGTGTGCTCCATTGTGTATATGTACCACATTTTCTTTATCCATTCTTTGGTTGAGGGGCATCTAGGTTGTTTCCAGGTTGTGGTAATTATGAATAATGCTGCTATGAATATAGTAGAGCATGTATCCTTGTGATATATTTGAGCATTCCTTGGATATGTGCCCAAGAGTAGTATAGCTGGGTCTTGAGGTAGATTGATTCCCAATTTTCTGAGAAACCTCCATACTGATTTCCAAAGTTAGCCTAGCCTAGTTTAGGCCTGAGTTCAACCCCCAACAGCACAAGAAAACAAGGATCACTCCATTTTCAAACATATATTTGTATGTCTTCCTTTCTAACTTGTATTCATTTTATTTGTTTTTCTTACCTAATTGCATTGGTTAGATTCCAATACCATCTTGACTATAAGTGGCAAACATGGGTACCACCAAATCTTGTTCCTGATTTTAGAGGGAAAGTTTTCAACTTTCATTATTGATAATATTAACTGTGGGTTATTTTTATATGGGATTTATTTTGTTGAGAAAGTTTCTTTCCATTTCAGGTTGATAACTGAAGTATTTATTGAGCCAATTCAGTATCTTTTATTTTAATTAGAATCTCATGAAATTTGCAGACTCGTTTTGAGAATATACTAATAAGCAAATTTCTATGCTACTATATAATATTACTATAGGGAATACTTGTAAACAGCAAATAATGAAAAAATGAAACTGTGGGATTCTATGACACTACTCAAAATAAGATATATTAATGGTGTTTATAAGGAAAATGAAAGTTTAGGAGTTTTTATATATGGGTGAAAATAAATTTGAGAGTTCAAAGGATTTTTATTTTTATTTATTTATTTCTCTTTTTGTTCTATTTTACTTAACCCAGTTTTCTTTCTTTTTTTTTCTAGGATATCCTAATCCCCGTGAAGGAATATTTGCCCAAGAATTAGGTTACTGTTTCAGTTATTTATACCCCTGAAGTATGAGACCTTAACAGTTAACATGGAAATATCATACATTTCAGTTACTGGCAGTTAAGAAGCATATCTTGTCAGTAGAAATAGTTGACATTTAGGATTAAGTAATTTAAGATTACTTACTTTGGGCTGATACCATGACAAATGTAAGTACTATTCTATAGAATGATACATAGGTAAGTACAGTTTCATAGAAGGGCCTGAATATAGGGAAGTTAGTAAGCTGAGGTTACAGTCCATAAAATACAACTTGCCTTCCATGTGATTCTCTTCCTCTTTGTGTCTGACGTACACAGACCTTAAAGTGCTATAAGGTGGACAAACTTGTTTTTCTGTGAAAGACTGGTTTAGCACAATTTATGTAGGCCTCAGTTTATACAAAGTACATTAAACAAAGGCAAGTGTAGTTACAACAGTTAAATTCAGTGAAATTTAAAGACATAATGAGTAGGACAAAAATCTGTTATGTTTTACTTACTAGATTAGTAATGATTCTTTTTTTATTTATTTATTTATTTATTTATTTTTTTTTTTTTTTTTTTT